ATCGTTAACAAGTCTTACATGCGTGACTTCGTAACGCGGACTACTTTTAGCCATTCCATACACTATTTGGACTGATGCGTTGACCTGCAATGCGATTGACCTTCTGCCCACATCCCATTCGTCGCGATTATCATCCCAGTTCGCTATAAGTGCTATATCAATGCTCGACTGGTTCACACAATCGTTACCCACAAACTATCCAGTTCGGTTTAGTTAATTAGTTAGCGATAACCGGTTAATGTAATTGGATCTCTTTGCTGCAACTCACATCGCCGAATTAACACTAACTAACAACAGCAAGAAAATGATGTTGAACACAAATATACTACAAATCAAGTAGCATCACGGCATAAAAACGCTAAACTGATCAGAATTGTATGAAAATTAACAGCTCGATGCACGGAACCGAAAACGGGAATTCCATTGACTGTGAGACTGCGCCATGTCTGAAAGGGTCTCCAACCATTGGTGTGGTCCACCTCGGGGCCGTCATTCTCGATGACAGTATACACCAGCTCGGTCAGTAAGCACCATCCGAGCGCGTACGCCTCAACAAAAGAGTGCTGGCGGTGTACCACCTTGATGCGCGTGTGGCACACTTCGACGGACTAGCTCCTGCGCTTTGAGATGTTTCCATCCATAGATACCGGGTGAAACTTGCTCACTGTTATCTGCGTATTGGCTCCATTTGTAGCATCGACATTTCTGGTTCTTAGGATCTCATACTTATACCCGCACGGATTTTTCGCCATCTGCCAACTGGACTTACATTATGTGAAACCATTATTTGAACCAGGATGATAATTTCCTGATGTCGCCTCTTTCATTGATCGTGCCATACATTTTGCAACCTGTCAAACGCGTCTGTGTGGGAGCAACACTACAGTGTTGGCGCATCTTTTTCTTTGACTACCTAAACGACACGTGCGTTGTTCACTCCAACCGCGCTTAGCGACACTTATTGGCTATGCAATCTTTCCTGGCCCCTTTATGTGAACGCTTAATAATGCATACTTATTACACCTCACTTGATGAACTACCTCTTGTGTTCTCCTAGTACATTTAATCCTGTTTAAACCCCATACTGTCGAGGCTACGTCAGCTCAGAGTCTTATCCAGGCACTGATTCGTTTTGCTGCCTGTTGCGCTACTGATTCGGGATCACGGGATAAGCCGCGTTTGGAATTACAAAAGCCACTTTCCTTGGTGCAATCGAGAATTTCATGGCATGTTCCGGTATATACTCTTTCACTCTCACTTTTCTGATCCTTCCTTCGCGCATTTCTCGTTTCTCGCTGTCATCCCAATTCTCTCTTCCTACACACTTTTCTTTGCGTTACTGCTGTGAACGAGCATTAATCTGATGCGGTGGTATTTAGGGACTCGGTCCACCTCAATGTAATAGCATGGAGGCTTCCACGATGCGTTCTAACATGCTTCCGACGTCCGGAAGTGCGCAAAACTCGAGAATACCGTAGCCTTCTGTATACGTCTGGTTGGATCATCATCATCAGCAGCAGCAACAACAACGACAGCAGTACATCAGCCATTTGTACTAATGCCTCGCTGCCATACCACCGTATCCACCTAAGGAATGAGGAATAATAAGAAGGAGAGAAGGAAAGCCTTAATGACCTGAGCAAACATTCAGGGTCACGACGTCTACACCTTGTGTCAATAACATATCATCACGAACAGCTGGCTATCGTGTCAAGATAAGGCGGCACCGGCGAGACAGCTTTTTCGAGCCTTTCACTGCCCCGCGTCATCATCAGCCATTACCCCGCAGATGACTCAGCACCAAACACACTTTAAACAGGCAGTCCGACTAGGAGACGGCAGCAGACGCGCCAGTGGTGCCGACTGCGAGTGCTGTAAACTCTCGAGCCAAGCACAAGGCGAGTCACGTGGACTCCCGCCTGGAAGACGAGGCGGACCGATGACACAAAGTTTGATCGTCAGAGACTTCATTTTCCGCTGCCAAGTCTACTTTTCTCCACTTTGAGCCTTGAGTCATCCTACATCTGGAAGACAAAACAGGCCCTCCTAGGTAAGCGGTGGCCGGACATACGTAGTACGTGCCCAACTCAACGCAGCTTATTCACTGCTGTCTGTTGTTCTAAGGAACTATCTTGGTTATCACTGCTTAGTACTCGCCTACGCACACCATCGTTGCGGACACGCTGGTGCCATCCGGCACACGCAATGTTCCGCAGACAGCAATGATCAGTTACTTGAAGGCGCTTCATCTCCTCAGATCGAAGTGGTCAAGTCACACTCCTATAGAGTAGGATGGCCCTTACTGTGGCCTTGTGAACACGACCTTTCAAACGAAATGAAACCCCTTTCTGACTCCACGGATGTCGCAGATTTAGGAAAGCATTTTAGTTTTTGCAATGCTTGAAGTGACTTCCGTATCTGCGGGCCCATCGTTGCTGATGCAACTGCCAAGGTAAGTGAATTGATCAACTACCTCTAGTTTCTCGCTATCAAGGGTCAAGTTGTCATCAAATAGCTGGTGGTTTTGTAACAGCACTTTACACTTTGAGGGTGCGTAGCTCATGCTAAATGATGGGACCACTCTAGAGAGTCTATTCAGGGTTGATTGGGCCGCCTAACACCGTTAAACAGCAAGACGATATCGTCCGCATTATCAAGATAAACTAGCCTTTCACCAGGCAGCACCTCGACTCTTGCATCGTGAGATTCCGCAGGGGAACACACCACGGTGAAGTCCATGACGAAATTGCACGAAAATGAAGAATTGGACAACCCTGACGAACACTACTTGTGGTCGGAAAGCTATTCGACAAGTCACGGTAGACCCTGACGCGGCCTGTAGTGTTCGAGTACAGAGCAGATGAAATTCCACATCTTTTATGGGAACATCTTTCCGCACCGGTATTTCGAACAGAATGCGTCGATCTACTGAATCGAACACACTCTTGAAGTCAAGGAACACAGTTGTTGTCGGTCTGCGGCTGGATACACGGTTATTGTGCGGAAGGATTGCTCTTTTCACTTTGGTTATGGACGATATTCTGGAGAGTGCTTTGGACAACTGCGGACCCAGTGGCGTTGAGCTGCTTCCTGTGGACCAATTGCGCTATTTGGAATATAAGATGACATCGCTGTAATTTGCGATTCATTACAAGTCATCCAAAACGGGCTGTATAAGTTGGAGATGTCTGTCTCCCAATTTAGAAGGTTCTTCACCCCGTGGATGTGTAAGCCTTTCCTACAGGACTGACCAGAAATTGCTCCTATCCTTCCCTTTAAACTTGCTCTCTGGAAGTAATAGACATGTTTGTTTACCTCAGAAACTGAATCAGTACTGACGGTTTAACGGAGGAGGTCTCTTTGCGCGTCTCTAAGACCCGGTTTGTCTTCGCTGATCTCCGCATCACTGGCATCGACCCGACCTGAGTCTCTCTGAAGGGTCGAGTCTACAATGTCGCGGTGAGTGTGTTCCTGCTCTACGGTTGCGAGACTTGATCTGTTCGTGCAAAAGATGTTCAGAGGCTGCCTGCTTTTCATCACCGCTGCCTTCGGAGCATTGCTGGGGTACAATGGCAGCATCACACTAGTAATGGGGACGTTCGACAAAGGATTTCAGATCAGACAGATTTTGCCGGCCCCTGAGCAGTATAATTTCACTGCTCATACTTCAGTGACATGAGCACTTGGTTCATATACCTACTAAGCGCTTACCTCGTTGTGCACTGTTCGCGCGCGCAAAAGGCGGCTGGAAGCGAAAACAAGGTGGCAAACGTGGTATCTGTATGCTCGAATGCAATTTTTAGTTTACACTAACCTTATCAACAAATTTAGCTTGGTAGGCGCTCTGTAGATGACTTATATGTACCTTTTGCTTTTATACCATTCACCCAAATCATCCTAGAGGACATGTCAAGCACTTGCTTTTTAACTCATGATAAATCATCGTTCATGTGTTCACACAAGCTACCGCTTGCCATATTGGTCCGACTGTATGGGTTTTCAGCGCACAATATAAATATCAACCATTTGATTAGACACGCAACCGTCCCCACGTCAGCACCTGTTACCTGAGGTGTACTCGTGGAGTGAAACATTTACTCATGATTTTCAGCTAAAGACCAGAGTTGCTATGATATCGATACTGCCAATATGGGAGACTTACGCCGGAAAATCCCGTTCTATTTTTGTTCTGCTAACCGGATTTTTGGATCTGCGTTTTATGGTCCTTTTTGAGCACTTGAGCATTTGAGCACCACAAACTACTTTCATCATTTTGTGACCGGGTGCACCTTGCCAAACCTCGAGATGTCTTGTCATTACACGAGATTTCATAGCTTTTTACTGATCTTCATCAGCCCGACTGCTCAGCGAATCATTTCTTTATCGTATGGCCAGCCATACTAATTCTTGTATCTTCTCATGCTTGTGCTTTTATGTGTATCGGGGTATGTCGTACGAGGACCGATGCAGGAGACTAGGGCTATGCACCCTGTCGTATCGTTGGTTTAGTGCTGACCTCACTGTGACACCAGAGTTTGCGTCTGGGTCAATTCCTCGTGTTGCGACCGCTGCTGCACCTGCGCGCACTAAGCAGCATCAGTACAGGCCTGTGGTGCCGGACTTATAACGGATAGCTCAACCTCTGTGCTTCGTGCGTCGAGTGGTGTGGTGTCAAAACACTTTACCAAAAACATTAGTCGATGCAAACTCGGTGCCGCAATTCACGCAATTCTTATATGCCCACATTGCGGATTACAGATTTAGGGAGCGCATTTTACCCGATTTAGATATGGCGCAGCTGTAATATGTTTCGAACGTGCAAGAATCTGTGACATGCTTTCGCGCACGTGCGTGTTCTAACTACGACGATACATAACAGGTGTATATCTTTTAGCTCTCTATTTTCAACGTTCAGTATTTGTGGCAGACTGACATTTCTGGAGGCGGCTTCCCTTTTTTCTCACCTCAGCTTTACTTTGCTCTCTGTCTTCCCCCCACAGGGACATCAAATCAGACAACGTCTTGCTGGGCAAGCAGGGTCAAGTTAAGCTGACCGATTTCGGATTCTGTGCCGAGTTGGGCGACCGACAGAGCAAGCGGTCCACCATGGTTGGCACTCCCTACTGGATGGCTCCAGAAGTGGTTAACAAAACAGTGCTGTATGGACAGAAAATTGACATTTGGTCGTTAGGAATCATGATTATCGAGATGATTGACGGCGAGCCTCCTTACATGAATGAGCAACCGTTGAAGGTACTTGTTCGGAATATATATCTTCATGGCTACAATGCTTCCCCTTCCGCCACTGTTAGTTGTTATTTTTTAAAACCAGCGTCCGATTATTGGTTATTTGCGCATTTTTTCATCGCGGTGAGACTTTATTAGTGCGACACTGCTTTTCCCTGTGATTCATCACGGTTTGCCTATCGACACTTTCTAGGAGTCACCCTTGACACATCAAACAACCTCGTGCGCAACATCCATCTCGGGAGAGGTTTGGGAGTAGTCTGCTTCCAATCTATGATGGCATGTCATCTAGAATCAACTTGGTGTGGAGTACAAGCGCTGGAGATTGTTTCTGGTGGTGAGCGACAAGTCTACTGGCTTGCTGCCACCCACTGCATCACCTTCGATTGTGCCTCCATTCGTGCTTGCCGTTTCAACAGCAACTTTGGGATTTTTATGCAGAAAAGACCACCGCATTTCAAGTTTTTTCCGTCGCCACTTGTTAGCTCTTTCCTTTTCCCTAAGATTTCCATTCCAATTCCAGCCAGAGTCAGAAGTCAACTTCCTGAAGCAAAAGCATTTTGACAGATCATCTACCCAAAGAGTGCGATTAGTGCGAAGACCACCTCACAAGCACAGATCAGCCCAGAAATTTCCGGGATTTAGAACAGCTATATCAGCTGCCAAATCTAGCAGTGTAGACACGAGCCAACCAATTAGATGTTAGGTATGTCTGTCACATAACAGACTTGAATTTTTTCACACTGTTTTGGTTCTTTTGCTGAACATTATTAGTTCAACTCGTTTCCTCACTGAAATAATGGGTTCCTTTCCCCCCGGATCCTATGACTTCCTAAGTCTGTGAGACAAGTGTTTTGGGTACCTAGTTCTGTGGGTTATTTGTAATCTTTCCAGCCCACTACTGCCCTAATCATGTCATATATTCACTTTGATGTCAATCATCCGTTCCTGATCCAATTTATATCACAGCAGCCATATTGCTTTCTATTACTCTCACCTATCTCCCTCTATTTGTTTCCACCAGGCGATCATGCTTATCCAATCAAACGGAAAACCCTCTCCGAAAACGAAGAAGCTCGACCCACTCATGCTTGAGTTTATGGACCGATGCTTGGAAGTGAAACCTGAGAAACGTGCCACTGCCAATGAACTTCTCAAGCACCGATTTCTACAACACACTGCTCCTCTCTCTGGTCTCAAACTACTGATTGATGCTGCTCGATCCCAAATCAGATAGGAGTTGTATGTGTGTGTGTGTGTGTGTATGCGCGCGTATGCCTGTTCGTCCAGACGTACCTTCCTCATCGGTGTTGCGCACGCCGTTTTGAACCTAGCCGATGTGATCCTACTCTCTCTCTCCCTCTCTGTGACACTTGATGCCTTATCTGGATTAACGCGCCAATTTCTCCTCCCACCCTGACTTTATCTGCTTTCCCTTTTCTCTCTGCTCTGGCCGACTCTCTTTTGCGACCAACCCACATCTTGAATTGTGTGGAATCATGTATTCTATTTTTATAACTTTGTTTTTTAGCCCCATGAATGTAGCTTTGTATCATTTCCCGTCTGCTCACTGCGTGTGCGCGTGCGCTCCTAACCGTTGACTCACGTGTACTTCTATTTTCCGCTCGCCGTCCAACTTAACTCATTGCTACCAATGTTTCCCCCTCGATTGGGTTGTATAGTCTTTCTCTTCACCGCTCAAAACCGGTATTGTACATCGGTGCTCGAACCGGAAGCCTTTTCTGTATTGCATGATCTGGCCTGGCTCTTAGTTTTAACCACTTTTTAACGATGGCTAACGTGGATATCGTTATTCTTCTGCTTGTTTTGTTCTCTCTCTCTGATCTTAGATCTCACATCGCGATCCTTTTCGGGGGCAGATGACCTAGTATTGTGTACAGTGTTCTCAGTATTTTAGTTCGTGATCTCTGAAGACAGCTTCTCTATCTGCATAATTTAGTCTGTGAACACGAGCTAGAGGTCCCTATAAGCCAACTGTTCTCCTGGCTAGTGTGAAATAGTTGACACACAGAGGCAGTCGTGATGGGTTTAGGGGACCCATGCACTTCTTGATTCCAGCTGTTGATCTGCCTCGGTCTTTCTGCAATTGGTTAGCGATCACACTTCATTTTGCGTCAGCTGTCCATATTACTTGTGCTGGTGCCTGCCATGTGGATTAATGCACAGAATGACGCGCAGACCGTTTTATCCTCGTATACTAATCACCTGCTGTTCCCCTTAAATAATATCTTCAGCACTAGCATTGTAAATTTAATAAAACTGTAAGTCGACGGAAATTGGCAGATGTTAACACTTTGTATTGTTTTGCAGAAAGTATTGTATTGTCTCATCAGTGCCAATGAATTAGTGTGAAAATATATAAGACGACAGATAGGATGAGACCAAAACAAGTTAGAACAAGATGGTGGACAGTAGTGGCACTCCTGAACCCAGGGCTGCCTAATGCCTACGTACAGTTGTCTCTGCACATTGTGTCCGGGTTTGATCTGGCTGATCGCGACTGCTTTTGCGAAATCTTGGAAGCGGGCATTAGCATGTCTTAGCACGATAGTAATCATATGGATGTCATGTGGCCTACCTATGGATAAAACAGGTGCCTGCGTGAACATGTGGTATGAGCAACTGACGACTGGGTGATCTGACTCTGCAACCACTTAGGTACATGTTCCCTTGCTCTGGAGTTCAACGCCATGTCGGTTCGGCCGACAGCAGTATGCTTCACAGCTATTGGTAAGTATAATGTGAATTGGCACCAACAGGTTGGGGAGGAGGTATTTGATTAGTGCGGTCGGTAAAAAAAGTCCTTTGTACCACGGAGATTATGCGCTTCGTTGTCCTCATATTGGCAGAATTACAAGAGCCCGAAGTATACCTTAGTAACAACTGTGAAGATCTGTCCCAGCACTCTCATTCTGCTTTGTTTCCCGATAAATCTTTTCGGGTGTCCATTTTTTAACAACGTATCCTTGAACGAGCTTATCTCATCATCCAAACTGTCGATGCTGCAGGCATTTTTTGCACGGTTAGATAGCGTTCTAACTGAGGTCCGCTTGTACTCCATTGGGGAGAAGCTGCTAAAGTGCAGATACTGCCCGGACCAAGTCGGTTTTCTATCAACCGCTTTCTTGATGCACCCATCTGCTGCTCTTCGGTAAGTTAACACGTACAAGTATAAAAGGTAATTGTTTTTCTCTATTTCGCTAGTTGTTTTCAGATTTGTATGCAGTTATTCAGATAATTGGGCCTTCGTGCGATCTTTTCTTCTGATGAGCCTGCATACCAAAATATCATCCGTATACTGCTTATGGTAGGATAGAAGCGATGTTTCTACACTCGTCTTTATTTCAACCATGGACATATCACAACGCTTGTTTTTTAAATAACCCACTCCACCTATCTGCTTGCTATTATTCACTTTATGTGCCATAGTGTATGAACGGTTTCTCATGTAGAAATAGACTTGGTTAATGGCCGATTACTTGATGAATTGGCCGACAATTTCTACGAGCAACATTTTTGACAAGGATTGGCAATCCATTTTTCACGTTCCTAATAGTGTGAATCCAGACGATGTTAGTCATGACGTTGCCCAGGCAACATCAGAAAGCACAATTGTATGGCAAGACGAGTATCTTATAGGGACAGCACGTAGCTGACTGTGCGCTTGTAAAAGAAGAGACAATTGTGCGCACGTGAAATTACTGTGCTCTTCGAGCTTACCACTGGAAAGCCATGAGATGTAACGTGGTACTCGAACAGTGCGGACGCGTTATACGCACGCCTAGGCGTGTATCTCAATCCGTTCCCAAAAAGTCCATATTTCTGAACTATTCCTAGTGATTGGGGTGACCACAGCACCAACGATGGCAAGTCATTCTCTCAACTGGTAGATGGCTGTAAGACAGGATACTAATCAACTTCGAATCGAGACACACTTTGGAATCACCTCACGGAAGTATCTGCACACGGCTTGCAGATGTGGAGTGATAAGCACTTCCAACGATTGCGGCCCACTGCAGCAACACCACAACCGCCTTTTCATGTGGTCTGCAGAAGTCCGCCTTTTGGTCAACCCATTCAAATAGGTATTCATGAGCCTGGGTAAGGGTGGTGACAGCCGAATCTTACCCTTGCCGGCTGGTTCCTGCATTCCACATATTCCGTGAAATATCAAGGTGTACTCCCGTGTTGCGATTTGAAGTCCGTGGACAACACGAACAAGATACACCAAAACGGACTGTGCATTCTCGAGGCGCTCAAACACAGATTCTGCGCCTGGTCTGAAGAGATGGCTTTTCGCCTCTTCTCTTCCATCATCAGATTAATGCTAATGTACGATGTTCTGACTCACTCTTGGTTACGCCACGCTCTGACGACCTGGGATCAACTCTCCTAGTGGAACGAACGAATGTGACTTGGAACTATATTCACGCACGACAATGTACCCGACAGAATTTGAATTCTCACACCAGGATACTTAGACGCGGCACGATTCTACACGCACGTTGAACGGGTTCCTAATCGAACGCAGACTTCACGCGCGACTACCCAACTCAGGAATGAGTAAGAACAAAGACAGTCCTTTCGCCCCAGGCTAAGGCGATTACAGCGCAGTCCAGCTTTGATTATCTACAACGATTGTGAAATATGTGAATTTTTCACGGATAATGGTTTGCGTAAGCAACCCCTAGAAGCAAGGCATAAGCTAGTGAATTTACACCATGTCGAAAAGTGAATGTTGGTAGATGCGGAAGCATGACTGGAAAAATGAATGTTAGATAAAAATGTCTGAATGTTTCATGATTGCGGAGGTTAGCCGAAAAAAGGAATGTTTCTTAGGTACAAAGGATGATCGAAAAGTGAATGTCTCATAAGTTAGAAGGCTGGTCGAAACATGTGCACTTGTCGGAATGCGAGTCTCATTGCCTTCTGTGGTTTCAACTTGTGATTTTGTGGGGACATTGGATTCCCATAACATCTCCCCTTCAAGTTTGAACATACGGTTTTAGTTGCGCGTCGATCTGCAGTCTTTCGGTCCCTCGACAGGTGCGTTTTGACTTGCGGTGAGGACCGGTAGGGTTTGACCTCGGCTGCACAACTTCCACAGGCTCCGGTTGTTTCGCAGCGATTCCTAAAGTATCCAATAGTATGTGCATCGGTATTTGTGTAGCCGACTTAGATTGTTCTTTGAGCGTTGTGGGTTGCGGTCGACATCATGTAGCATACTACCGCGATGGTCCGTTACTGCAGCTTCGTTCCAGTGTGGGTGACCAGCCCGGTAATCACGAGCGAAGACAGGAGCTCCAACAGCGAAGCCCTTGCTACTGTTTAGGACTTTGGTTGGAACCAGCGCTTCGTGTTTGATGCGCAGCCTCCGGCTCATTAATGCTTTCGTGGGTGATTTTCCTCCTAGGACTGCTGGGTTCGGTGTGGTTCTGTAGGCGAACAGGAAAGCCTGGATAATTGTTTCCACTGTCCCCTCCTCACGAGCTTCCAAGAGCGCTATCACTAAGGTATCGACGAAACGTTCCACTTGGCCGTCGGACTGTGGATGGTAGGTCGGTGACCGGAGGTGCTGGATACAGTGATGGCCGCAGAACTTTTCAAACTGAGATGACGTAAACTGCGACCGGTTATCGGACACCTGGAAGTCCGTGTTGGCTGAAGGTTCACTGCAGACAAGTTATCGTTGCTGTTGTGGTATTAGGGTTCACGGTCACGACTTCAGGCCGTTTGGAGTAGGCATCAACCAAGACCAGATAGGAGGTGCCGTCGATTGGCCCCACATAGTCGATGTGTATGCGAGACCAAGATTTTTCCGCTGATTGTCAGGGGACTGGAGATTGGTGCTGTGATATCTTGGCTGCTTGTTAACATCGGGAGCAACGGTGAATCCAATCTTCAATGTCGATATCAATACCGGATCCATAGACGAAGCTGCGAACGATTGCCTTCATTTTGCCAATACTAGGGTATGTCGAATGCAATTGACAGAGCACTGATTGTCGAAAACAGACAAGAACGACAACTTGATCAGCAGTCATGTGGTAGCGACCAACTACAGAGAGAGATTCTCGACACTGAACTAGGTGCTTGAGTTCTCCAGATAGTGCAATGTTTGGCCATCGGCCTACTTGTCCTCTATCTGGGCTTTCCATGGTTTTGTTTGACTCTGTGTCTATTTAATAGACTGCTGCCAAATCATCCAGTTTGGTCACTGGTACGATTGGCATCCCCAGTTGGAAAATTACAGAGGCGTTACAATTCCCTGGGTTTGTAGCCATTTTATTCTTATTCATCTTTGGGCCTTACATCATATGGTAGTGTTCGTGCTTTGTGAATTTAAGCTGGACAGTCTTTGATTTTTATTGTAGCTTGAAAGTCTTTCAGATTCCTCAGCTCTTACGCAGATACCTCTGAGTGTTGTTTCAAAACTTCTCCCAGTCCAGTGACTTTATTAACTGTTTTAAGAACATCCAACCTATTCGAAACCGCGTCCATCCAGTTCCACCCGAGTAGATTTTGTTGATCTTCCAATAGGACTTAATCAGGGAGTTTGTGTGTCACTGCGCCGTATTGTGCATGGACAATGAGTTTGTCGAGAACGTGAATCAGCTCACCGGTGTGAGTCCGAAGGTTGGAAGTGCATGATGACTGAGGCAAGTGCTTCACATCGTTCGGCCTAATTATTGTCACCGAGGTTCCTGTATCTATCTCATTCGGTACCTTCTCTCCTTGGTTGTAGAGCCCCACACTGTATGGCGCGGAACGTAGATTGGACACAGTATTCAGCCATACCGAATGTAACGCAGGTTCGTTCTTTTCACCACAATCCACCGCTTTGATTAATTTTGCTTGTGGTTTATGCAATTCCGGTTGCAGCTTGACTGACATGCATGCTCGCGCAAGTGACCCACCTTCCCACACAGTT